CCATACCCCCTACTTTTTGTGAGATTTTTATGGGAAAACCAGATCTTTGTGTTACAGAGAACGCAGGAAATCCACAGGGTGGCCAGGCTGGTTGGAGTCTTTCTGGCCACCTGCCTCAGCTATTGTCCATTATCTTCATCTCACTGCGAGCCTAAGTTCTGGGGCAGAATTTTGGATACCACCCTAGCAAGGTACTGACCTAGGTAGAAGTCCCACGTGAGGCACCTTGCGGGAAACCCTAGAAAAGCCTCCTTCAACAAAGGAGCATGCACATATGCTGCCCGAACACATGTGCTGCTGTGGCCATGTGGCCAAGGACATTTGAGTTCATGTGTCATCACATCTCCCCTCTTGAGATGTGTACTTTCCTGATTTCCTGTCTAATGCTGGGATGTGTGACTCTCTCTGTCTTTGGAGAATCCCACGTCCTCTCTTGGGCCTGTTGCTCTCTCTTGCTTTCTCTCCCTCCTTCCCCTCCCAAAGCTTCCAAATAAAATCTGTGTTTTACTTCACTGCTTATGTACTCCTGAAATTCCTTTCTGTGAGAAAGACGAAGAACTGTAAACCCTGGGTGAGGCCTGGACTGACCTTTCTAGACTTTATCAGTCCTAATCCTCCCAGCAGGTCCAGCAGTGGCAGAGGGGAATCTGGAGGAAGTGACCATCTCTCTCCTCTCTGCCTCACATAAGCTACCCATGGGGACCCACTGACTTTAGTACCACTCTGGTGATGTAGGTCTTACAATTTTGTGACGCTGTTATTAGTGACAAGCTCACTTGTGGGATTTGAAAGCAATGTTAGATGTAGGATCTTGACTTGTATATATCCTCTAAGTGAAAGAGCTTTGTTGCTGTATAGTAAGCAAATGTCATATTACTGTAGAGCAACCAATCAGAACCTGAGTGGCCTAACTCCCACCTGAATTAGTGTTGTCTTAGTAAATTAAACATTTCAGTGAAATTCAACATTTCAGTGAGAAAAAAAGGTTATGCTGCATATAGATTTTAAATCATGTGTCATAATTTGATTTAATGTTGCTAATGGAATGCCAGGTTGCTTGCTAATTAAAATACTAATGCTGTCACTGGAGCTCTAACCTGCAGGCAACCTTCCAACTACTATGGATTTTTTTTTTTTGCCTCAGTTGTCAGTGTGGTTGGTGACAGCCAAACCACTGAGGTCTTTGAGTTCAAGGTTTTAGCTAAATTTAATGACTTGGGACTTCAGCTTTTGTCTGTTGAAACAACAATTTATTTGAACTTCTGGATGTAAAACTCTGCAGAGACACCCAAATTAAATATAACAAGATCAGAATTCAACAAAATGGTATGCAGCTGTATCTAAAAACTTTTGCTGTCTGGTGGTTTTTCTATTACCAAGGAAATATGTCTGGTTTTATGGTCATGGGATACGTTGATTATGTAGTCACTAAATTATATTTTTGTTTACTGATTTGTCTCTCTGCTTAATAGTATACTCCATAACAATAGCCTTAGAGAACTTGTTTTAATGTTCTTAAAGGTATCTTTAATTACTCACCCGCTAGCTCCTAAATGGTGAAGATTTTGGAGGGTAGTAAAAGTTCAAGTCTATGTGGTCACGTATTAAATGAACAGATCCCATTGTGGTGCCATGTACAGGACAATAGATGCCTTCCATCTGGCCTGCATGTGGAATAGGGATAAAATTTTAAAACTGTAATAATATAGGTAGCACTGCACTGTAGTACTGTCCTGATTTGCTTGAGTGGGCACCAGTAACGTCTCCATTGTGAGACTTATTGTTACTGTTTTTGGCATATCGAATATGCCACAGGGAGCTTGCCAGGCTCTGCCATGTGGGCAGGATACTCTTGGTAGCTTGCGGGGCTCTCTGAGAGGAACGGAGGAATCGAACCCAGTCAGCCGCATGCAAGGCAAACGCCCTACCCGCTGTGTTATCGCTGCAGCCCAGTAATAATATAGGTAGACATTATTTAAAGGACATTATTATGAGTCATTATACTAGTCAAAATCTGCGTGTGTGTGTGTGTGTGTGTTTGTGTGTGTGTACTCAATAAGAGGTTTTGTGTTTTTAAGTTGGTGTGAAATGTAAATTGTTTACAAAGCCCCAGATCAAGGGAGAGTCAACTCTAGGAGCCAGCTGGGGATCATTTATGAATGAGCCATTTACGAATTGCATTGCTAGAATGGAATTTTTAAAAAACGTTGGTCAGAGAGTCTGCAAGATAACTCAACAGGCTGAAGTGCATGCTTTGCACACATGCATGCAGGAAATCAGATTGAATCTAGGCACCATATAGAGTCCCAAGCACCTTATGGGAGCAACCCCCAAACACTGAACCAGGGAGTTCCTGAGCACTTAAGGTGTGGCCCAACAACAAAAGAAAAATTTAGTTCCCAAATTTAGATAAGTTAACAAAATGGGTTTTTAGGGAACCAATGTATTTATTAATTAAATAGATATTCAGAGACCTCCTGAATGACTACTCTAAGAATTTAGCATTGAATATTTTGAAAAGAGAGATGCATGCCTCAGCGATAGCATCTGGAGCTCCAGAGGGAGTGCTGGTGTAAGGAGAATCAAGGGAAGGCCTTATAATGCTGTCTTTACATATGAAAAAACATGTGTCTGTTATCTTGATTTATATTTTGAATTTCTATGAAGTGAGATTCCCAGAGTTGCTCTAAGGAAAACAAGTCAATACAGTGATGTAATTGCTTTCTCAAAGGGAAAGTGGTCACTCTGGAGGAAGATTGCTGAAAGAGAGGTATAAAATGCTCACCACAGAGGCAGACTGTGGTTTGGAGGAGGAAAACTGGGAACATTGGTGGAGAAAATGGAGTTTGTAATTCAAGGTGGTTCATTTTTAAAAAAAAAAAAAGTAGGACTCAACAATAGGAAGATAACAGAAAAGTCTTCAACCTCTTAAGACAAAACTCTTTCTACTAATCCAAAGGTTACTTCAAAACATTTTGAACTTAATGAAAATAAAGTAACAACATACTAACATACAACATACTAACAAGAAGAAAATAAGTGCCAGTGGGATCAATTGCTTATCCATACCTCCAGACCAAGCTGACAACCTGAAATTCAAACTCAGTTCATTGAGTCTGAGTTCTTCATCAGAGCCTTCCTAGTAAAGCATTCTCATCCCACTGAGCACCTGCACTTATGGAGGTGGTGACAATATCCCTTCAATCTAGGAACTACTATTGGCACTCACTCAGGTAATGTCATTGGTTTTCTTGTAATCAAGGGAGGTGCGAGGATTGAATCACCGTCTAAAGTACCATGGCATTTGACCATCTCCTCAGATGCTGAGGGCTATGAAAACTCCCCTTCCCCAATTCCCGCAGGTGGAGTAATCCAAAGAGTCCAGATTTGTCTTCTGCCATTTTAGCCATGTTACTCTTGTGGGTGATGTCTTTATGATCCAAAGCATAACAGTCAGCTTAGAGAGTCTATGCAAACCTCAATTTACAGTAAAACCTAGTCTACAACAGGCAGTTTTAACTCTGATGATATATGGCACTGTTTTTCAACCATTTTATACCACAGATTGATGATAAGAGGACTAACCTGTGAGACTTGTTGCTACTGTTTTTGGCATATTAAATACACCACCAGGAGCTTTCCAGGCTCTGTCGTGTGGGCGGGATACACTCAGTACCTGGCCAGGATCTCTGAGAGAGGTGGAGGAATCGAACCCGGGTCAGCCGCATGCAAGTCAAATGCCCTACCCACTGTGCTATCGCTCCAGCGATAATAGTAACATTATATATGGGACACGCCAATGGCTTTTACACAGACTAGCAGGGAAAGTTTTGCCATCTTCTCCACAACCATGGATGGTGATTGAAAATTATTGGTATTTGGTGTAGTATTATTAGGTTCAGTTTGTTTTGCTCATGGGCAACTTATTTTCCATAATAAGTAGCCCAGAAGTTTCAGAAAATATGAGAAGAGGTTGCTCAACAATGAGTCAATGAAATGGTTTTTATATGAAGACCTTTTGTAAGTCTTTCATTGCAAATGAAGCCAGTTGCTGATTTGTAAGTAGCAGCATAAATGAAATAGGCGAATGAGAAATGTGTTGCTTCATAATCCCAAGAGAATTAGAAGATATTGGACAGGTATATCTTTAAAGAGTATGCCTAGGGAAAAAATCCCTGGAGGAAGATTCAATGTCATATTTATGCTCTTGCTGAAAGAAGAGGAGTGAAATTAATTATATCACCACTAAAGGCTGTGTGATGGCAAGTCAGCTGAGGCCCTTCACGGGTAGTCCAGGAAAGGTCTGTGTCTTCTGAGATGAAAGAAAATGACAACAAAAGCCTATTAAAACAGGAACTGAATAGATCATAGTAGATAAGATTACTAATTTTAATAATTCTAGGTATAGAGCCTTTAATGGACAGGATTATGTTTCTTTTATTTGGAATAATCTACTGAGAGGCATCATTAATTCTTTTCACATTTCCACAAGCAACACTAAGATGTCAAATAGAGAAGATAATTACCCATTTCTTAATTAGGCATTATATAGCACATCAATCCTTGAAGAACCTATTTCAATTTACTTTGAGTCTTATTAAATATGTTTTTTATTTTTTTATTTTGTAAAGTAGTTAAAAATATTTGATTACATTTAATATTTGGACGCCAATCCTACCACCATTACACCTTCCCATCACCATATTTCGAGTGTTTCCATCCCGAACCCCAATCCCTGCCCCAAAGCAGAACCGAAATAATATATTTCCCTCTAAGGTTGGTTGATGGGATTCCTACTTTGAAATGTGGTGCTGTGCTCTTAGAGTATGGGTAGGGTGTGTCCTATGAAGTCTCCAACAGCCGCATTCATGGCCTCGGGGTCTAGGAAAAGATTCACTCAGCCAGAGTGTGTGGAGAGCAGCCATAAGCAGGGTGGTGGTTGAGTTCTGGAGTTTTCGGCTGCCAGCGCTGGGATCCCTTGGGGCTAGGAGAGATCTCACCTATCCCCTCTAGGGCGACTGGAGTGAAACAGCCTGGCATGGGGTCTGGCGGCATGTTTATGTCAAGTGTTACGTTGATCCCATCAGGGAGAGAAGGACATGCAATCTGGATGGTCAAGTCTTATTAAATATTTTAATTGAAAATTCTTGGAGTCCCATTTTGTCAGTCCAGTTTATAGGCACCTCCAAAATTTTATTGACTATTGTACCGAAGCATTTATTCAATGTTGCATGACAAAGTACCACAATGATAATATACCAAAAAATAATGATTCTTAACCCCAGAGGCTCATAAATACAAGATTACCAGAACATTTGGTGTCAGGTGAGGTCTGCTTTCTGGTTCTTAGTCAGAACCTTTTCAATGCATCCTCAAGTGATGGAAGGGATTTGGTAGCTCTTTGGGGTATTTTTAATAAAGTCCTTAATCCCATTCACAGCAGCTCCTGATATGATCAACTCCTAAATCATCCTTTCCAAAGGGGGAATGAATAAGCTTCAACATATAAATTTTTAGGGGCACATGAATGTAGGATGGCATTGGTTCATCCTTTCTTGTCCATCCTTTCTCCCTTGCCGAAGGGAGTTTAGGTTTACTGAGTTACACCCATCACAATGCTTCCGAAGCACTCTCATATCTTCGGTACTCATCTTTAGTTTCTCCTTTGTACTCTGCTTCCCCTATCTGTCATTTCCCCTAATCAGAACCTGTGACTTGTAAGGTCACATTCTTCAGAGATCTCTGAATTCTGTATTTGTGAGTGGAGTATTGCTTTTCTCTTTTCTTTATGTCCTTTGCAGTTTACTTTAGAGCAATGTTCTCTTTGTATAAACACAGGAAGACAATTAATGCTATGCTTTTGTAACTTGGGAGTTAATTGACTTCAAATAATATTTACTCCTGGGCACCTGTAATATTTACTCAACTTCAGCCTCAGTTGCCTTTAGTTTCTAGCACCCCAAGAACAGGATCCTGACAAAGGAACTGGATGAACCCAGAGCAAGCTCTAAGCTACCCTGGCATCGAAATGGGACAGGACAAGTGCTATAAAACTTATAAGTTAAGAACATGGTTGTGGACGAATTCTTTCATGACCCAAAGAGAAATGACCAGATAAAGACCCTGTTGGGGCTAGGAAGGACTAATCTGGCCTGAGGACTGTAGTCTGGGATCTCTAGTGAAGTGTCCACAGGAAAGTCACCCTTTAAGCTTGGAAAATCTCTTACGGTGTTCATACCAAATGACTAGAATTAAGAAGTAAGTTTTAAATGACTGTTCAAAAGGATATAGACTAAGAAAAGGAGAAATATGCCGTTAGATGATATTCTGCCCTTGAGCAGATCTCCTAGCAGGATGAGATCTTTGTCGTAGAAGAGCTTTCCCAGAAGGAAGGACTTTACTTATGTTGATTGTGCTACCTCACCTATGTGTAATTGCCACCCCTAATACTTGGTGATTGTTTTCTATAACTAATGCTGTAAGACTGGGGAAACTAGGATGGGGGAAAGTAGAAGACTGGCATGAGAGAAATGCATGAGTGTGAAATGGGGACAGATATTGGAATAAATGGCGACTGATCACCAACCAGTTTGGCAGCCCTGTTTCCTCCTTCATGAGTCTGTTGGGTGGAGAGACAGCTCTTGGCCACTGAACACACACAGAAAGCTCCCACACACTGTTGTGAACATACACACATGAATGTGAAGCAATAGCACAGCTTGTAGGGCATTTGCTTTGCACACAGACGACCCGGGTTCAATTCCTTCGTCCCTCTCGGAGAGCCTGGCAAGCTACCAAGAGTATCCGGCCTGCATGGCAGAGTCTGGCAAGCCCTCCATGGCATATTTGATATGCCAAAAATAGTAACAAGTCTCACAACGGAGACGTCACTGGTGCCCACTCAAGCAAATCAATGAACAACGGGAGGACAGTGCTACAGTGCTATGCACATGAATATTTAGTCAACATCAGACTATGGGAAGCTGAGAGGAATGATTGGGGGAAAAGCTGATGTCGAGGGTGAACTCCTGAGCCTTGGCCAACCAGTCAAGCCATAGGGGGTCCCTCCCCATGCAGGGCCCCTTTTGACTTCAGGCCAGCGTCTCCTCTTCCCCCTCCTCAGACAGATGGATGCAATGTCTAGTCATTATGTCTAAAACAATACATCAGGGACCATTGCACAAGATAATTTCAGCCAGGAAGAGTGAGGAACCAAAACACGCTATTCTACTGCTTCTAGGCTTGTACAGGGATCTTCCCCACATCCCCAAAAGGTGTCATTGCTTTGTCTTTGTCTCTTTGTCTTTTCATATATCCTCCACTGCTCATTCTCCCTGTTGGGGCTGGCCTTCCCTGTCCGGTAAACAACAGATGGAGTTTTGGATAGATTGATACCGCTAGCTCTCTTGCTGGTTCCATGACCCCAACGTGTCCAAATGACAGCAGACCAGAAACACACCCAATATCTACCCTCCAGAAAGCATTGGTGGTGTGGTCTGGTTGTGATATTGTTCTGATGTGACCTCCCACTATGCTATTGTCTAACTTACAGAGTTTGGACAACAGGAATTGTTCCTTTTTTAACATACCAAGAGTGAGGAAATTTAGGAACCACCAGTAGTTACTGCTGTAAACAAGATTAAAGTTCATCATTTGGCAACACTTGACCAATAGGCAGCAGTTCCTTCCAAACTTCTATTCTGTTCCCTGGGAAACAATTAATAAACTAAAGCAGGCCTCAAAACACTTTAAAAGGGTCAGAAGTCAATGGTGGTTGGAAATGATCACTCTGAACAAAAACTGAGTGCTGGAAGGAGATAAAGGATGTGTAAGATACACTTTCAGTAACAGTATTACAAACCACAGTGCCTAAAAGAAAAATAAGACAGAGAGAGCAAAAAAAGATATATACAGAAGGTTGTGAGGCAAGCAGCAGATAATTTTTTTAAATAGCAGATTTATCATATTATGCCCCCACCATTATCATTTTATTTTATTTTATTTGGTGTTGGGACCACACCCTGTAGTGCTCAGAGATTACTCTTGACTCTGAGTTCGGAAATTACCCTTCGCAGGTTCAGCCATATGGGCTCCTGGAATCAAACCTGGGTGGGTTGGGTGCAAGGCAAATGCCCTTCCTGTTGTAAAATCTCTTCAGCCCATATTTTATTTAATCTTAGCTGCATTGTTAATGTCCCAATAGGGCATCAATATATGACTTTTAAGGACTGGATAGATAGTTCAGCAGATAAGGTGCTTGCCTTGTATGTGGCTAACACAAGTTTGATCCCAAGCACCTCGCAGGGTCCCCAGAACCCTACCAGGAATATCTCTGAGGGGAAAGCCAGGAGTAAGCCCTGAGTACAGCCTGGTGTGGCCCAAAAACCAGATGGAAAAAGTAGTTCATAACTCCAATTTAGGGTAAAAAACTTTAAGAAAATACAAACAAAAGGGAAGTTCCCTAATTTGACAAAGTGTATTTATAGAAATCTGCACATAATCACTTAATAGTGGAAGACTAAACGTGTTCATCCTAAAATAGGGAACAAAGTCAGGGATGCTCATTCTCACAAATCATTCAACATAGTGCTAACCAATACAGGAAATCAGGAGAAAGAATACAAAGGGAAAATAGGCAGAGAAGAAAGTTACTTCTATATAAATGACTTGATAAACAGTTTTGAATTTTGACTGCATCACTGTCAATATTCTGACTGTGTTATTGTCCTAGAGTTTTTCCAAAACACTACCATTTGAGCAAGTTGAGTAATGGTCACACATAATTCTCCATATTCTGCATACTGTTACTTAAATGGGAGGTGTTACTTAAATGTGATGCCAAGCTATAGAACCAAATTAAGTACCTGAATTTGTGAGATCCTGAATTCAATTCCCCGTACTTCATGAGTCTCAGGACACCACTGGTAGTAACTCTGTTAGCCAAGTACTTCCAGGAGTGAATCCTGCATTTTTAAAACAAAATGAAACCTGCCTGTGATTCTATAAATATCTCAAATAAAATATTTAACTAAAAATTCACTATAACCAGCAGCCACACCCATGACCCACCAACACCGCCACCGCCACTGTCAAGTAAGTTCATCTACTGGCCCTGTTTCTTCTAAGAGGCTTTGTTTTATTTTGCTTTTTATTGTCTCTGTTTTCATTTTGTGGAGCTAGGGGATTAAACCCAGAGTTTTGTTCATGAAAATTCTTCCAAGAGTTTAGAAGTTCTAGCACTCATAATTTGGTCTTTGGTAAACATTAGTAAATTTAACGGAAGAGTCACTATGTTCAATTGTGTTCAAAAGATATTCCTAGTTTTGTGTACAGGGGTCACTTCTGGTAAACTCAGGGAACTATATGTGGTGTCAGCTGTAATCAAAGAATCCTCTGAAATATATGGCCCTATGTAGGATTAGTTTTTAGGTTTGAAGTAAAGGTCACTGTTTGTTCATTTGCATATAGTGATTCAATTTTTCACCATCACAAGTTAAGGCAACTACTCTCCCTCAGTGAATGGTCTTGAACATCAATGGATATATGGATTTTTTTCATATGAATATATGAATATATATGGATATATAGATTTTTCTAGATTCTCAATTGCATTGCATTGATCTATTTGTTTATTCTTTTTTTACTAGTACCAAACTGTTTTGGCTAATGTAGGATTTTTTTTAATTGATTCACTTTAGGATACACAGTTACAAATTTCTTCTTAATTGGAGTTCAGTCATACAATGTTCCAATACTCATCCTTTCACCAGTGTACATTTCCCGTCACCGGCTGGAGAGATAGCACAGCGGGTAGGGCGTTCGCCTTACACGCGGCCAACATGGCCGACCCGAGTTCGATTCCTCCGCCCCCTCAGAGAGCCCGGCAAGCTACCGAGAGTATTGGGTATGCCAGACACAGTAACAACAAAGTCTCCAATGGAGACGTTACTGGGCCCGCTCGAGCAAATCGACGATCAACGGGAGGGCCTTTACCTTTACCTTTACCCCATTGTCCCTCTCCTGTCTCCACCACCTTTGGGCATTATGACCTGAAA